TTCGACTGGAAGAACCTACGGTTCGAAGATTTCAAATCCGTCGAAGAATTCAATTTCGAACTCTTTCGGATAGTTGCACTCATAAAACTATGTGGCGAGGAGGTCACTGATAAGGATATGCTAGAGAAAACATTCTCTACTTTTGGCACTCCCAATGTTGTTCTCCAACAACAATACCGTGCCATGAATCATAGCACCTATGAGGATTTGATATCTTGCTTACTGCTTGCTGAGAAGAACAATCAGCTTCTGTTGAGGAACAGTGCCATGCGGCCTCCAGGATCAGCCCCATTGCCAGAAGGAACCAGAAAAGAGTCCAACTTCGTCCAACGTAACAGATCCTCAGATCGTGGACGTGGACGTGGAAATGGACATGGACTGCGCGGCAGAGGACGCGGTAGACCGAACCAAGTTAACCGACCTAACCTCAGTTTTGGTCGGGGTAAGGGTCGTGGTATCAACAAACCGACCCAAAGAGGCTGTTCATCTAGACCAACTCCTTGCTCAAGATGCGGAATGACTAATCATTGGGTCAAGAACTGCCGTACTCCCAAATATCTTGCTGAGCTCTACCAGAAGTATGGGAAAGATAATCATGAGGCTAACCTGGTTCATCAAGTCAATGAAGATGACTCAAAGGATGATAAGATTGATGGCATGGATTATGAGCTCTCCGACCTCCTTGATTGATCTCAAAAAATCTGAATTTGTTTTTCATTACTCCTTAAACCTTTATCTTTTGTTTTTGGGATTTATTGTCTTTACTTTGGATTTTTAAGACCTTTTGCTTTTACATTTTAATTTATGGAGTAATGTTTTATTTACATCTCATTTTTGCATGTTATTGAATTATAATTCTTGTTTAATGAAGATATGCAAGACAATATGGATATCATTGTGGATAGTGGATCGAGCCACACCATTCTAAAAGACAAGAATTACTTCATAAATTTAGTAATCAAAACCGCAAACATTAGCACTATAGCGGGTAGTTCGAGCCTAATAGAGGGCCATGGCCAAGCTAATGTGTTGTTATCAAATGGCACATATCTAGACATCTCTGATGCCTTATACTCACCCAGTTTTAAGAGAAACCTATTGAGTTTCAAAGACAAAAGATTGAATGGTTTCCATATCGAAACTCAGGATGAAGGGAACAAAGAGTTTTTAATTATCACTAAAATGATAAATGGCCATAAACAAGTTTTTGAAACTATACCCGCCGTATCTACTGGCATTTACCATGCTAAAGTCAGTATGATTGAGGCTAATGCTGCTATCAAAGCACGGTTTTTAGATTACACTATTTGGCATGATCGCCTGGGTCATCCCGGTGCGAACATGATGCGTAAATTAGTCCAGAATTCTAAAGGGCACAGCCTTAAACCAAATGGTGTTTTCCCTCAGCACCTCAAGTGCACAGCTTGCTCACAAGGGAAACTGATTACCCGACCTTCACCAGTCAAAGTGTCTAAAGAGACCTTGAACTTTCTGGAAAGAATCCAATGAGACATATGTGGACCAATTCACCCACCTTGTGGGACATTCAGATATTTCATGGTCCTCATTGACGCATCGACCCGCTGGTCGCATGTCTGTCTGCTCTCTTCTAGGAACCAGGCTTTTGCTAGGTTATTGGCCCAAATCATCAGATTACGAGCCCATTTTCCAGACTTCCCATTAAAGACTATACGTCTTGATAATGCTGGTGAATTCACTTCCCAAGCGTTTAATGAATATTGTATGTCCATGGGGGTAAGTGTTGAACATCCCGTTCCACATGTCCATACACAAAATGGATTAGCTGAATCCTTCATTAAACGAATTCAATGGGTTGCTAGACCATTACTCATGAGGTCACAACTCCCGGTCTCAGCTTGGGGACACGCAGTCTTACATGCCGCTGAACTAATACGCATACGACCATCTAGTGAGCACAAATATTCACCATCCCAATTGCTAATGGGTCATGAGCCAGACGTCTCCCATATTAAAACATTTGGGTGTTCAGTCCATGTACCCATTGCACCACCACAGAGGACTAAAATGGGACCTCAAAGGAGGATGAGAATATATGTTGGTTTTGATTCTCCCACCATCATAAAATATCTCGAGCCAACTACAGGAGATCTGTTTAAAGCCAGATATGCAGATTGCCGATTTGATGAATCGGTATATCCTAGATTAGGTGGTGAGACAGACAAGCTGGTAAAAGAACTTTCATGGAATCAAACATCCACACAATGGCAAGATCCTCGGACTCTAGAATGTGATTCAGAGGTCCAAAGAATTATACATTTACAAAAGCTAGCTAATCAATTGCCAGATTCCTTTGCTGACCCGAACAAAGTTACCAAATCGTATATACCAGCTTGTAATGCACCAGTACGAATAGATGTCCCCTCAGGGAAAAGTCAAGTTGCTACAGAGTCTGACGCACGTAAGAAACGTGGACCACCAGGTTCCAAAGATAAGAATCCCCGAAAATCAAAGAAAGGTGCAATGATTGAAACCGGGATTCAAGAGAACACGGGTACAGCCTTAGCTGATACTTACCCTATCGAACCATCTCAAGAGGTTTGGGACGCCAAAACTCAAGGTTCTGAAGGGATTGATAATAATGAGATCTCAATCAATTATATCATATTCGGTTCTCTATGGAACAGAAAAGATGTTGACATCAATGAAACTTTTGCATACAAGGTAGCACTTGAGATTGCGCACACGCAAGAGGATCTAGAACCCACGTCTATAATTGAGTGCACTCTTAGATCAGATTGGCTGAAATGGAAAGAAGCCATAAACGTGGAGTTGAATAGTTTAAAGAAACGGAATATGTTTGGTCCGATCTTAAGGACACCATTCGATGTAAAACCAGTGGGAAACAAATGGGTCTTTGTGCGTAAAAGAAACGAACTCGGCGAAGTCGTTAGATACAAGGCACACCTTGTAGCACAAGGATTCTCACAGAGACCCGGAATCGATTATGAGGAGACTTATTCTCCAGTGGTGGATGCAACTACATTTCGATTCCTCATAAGTCTGGCCATAAGAGAAAACTTAGATTTGCGGTTAATGGATGTTGTAACCGCATATCTTTATGGACCACTGGACAGTGAAATCTATATGAGATTACCAGATGGTATTGAGCTCAAAGATAAGCATGCATCTCGTGATAAACACTGCATTAGGCTGAACAAATCCTTATATGGACTGAAACAAAGCGGACGTATGTGGTATAACCGGTTAAGCGAATATCTCATCAGAGAAGGCTACGAAAACGATCCGATCAGTCCATGCATCTTCATCAGAAAATATCAAAACAAAGGATTTGTAATCATAGCAGTATACGTGGATGACTTGAACATCCTCGGAATATCTGGTGAAATCGCCCAAACAGTTGAATGCTTAAAAGCAGAGTTTGAAATGAAAGACCTAGGCAAAACTAAATTCTGTTTGGGATTACAACTTGAGTACGTCAATGACGGAATCCTTGTGCATCAATTGGCATACACTGAAAAGGTACTCAAGAGATTCAATATGGACCAGGCCCACCCATTAACCAGCCCAATGGTTGTGAGGAGCCTTGGATTGGATAGTGATCCATTCGGTCCAAAGAAGGACGATGAAAAAATCCTCGGTCCTGAAATGCCATACCTCAGTGCTATAGGAGCATTAATGTACTTGGCTAGTCACACTAGACCAGACATCTGCTTTGCCGTGAGCCTCTTAGCTCGCTTTAGTTTGTGTCCAACTCAAAGGCACTGGAACGGTATTAAGCACATCCTTAGATACCTTCAAGGTACTAAGGACTTGGGATTATTTTATTCTAACCATAACAAGGATGGTCTAGTTGGTTTTGCTGATGCAGGATATTTGTCAGATCCGCACTGTGCCCGGTCTCAAACCGGTTATGTTTTCACGCATGGAGGAACAGCCATATCTTGGAGATCCATGAAGCAGACTATTGCCGCTACCTCATCCAACCATGCGGAAATCTTGGCCATTCACGAAGCTAGTAGAGAGTGTGTTTGGTTGCAGTCCATGACTCAGCATATCCGATCAGATTGTGGTATGGACGAAGATAAGGAGCCTACGGTGATGTATGAAGACAATGCAGCTTGTATCGCTCAACTCAAGGACGGCTACATCAAAGGTGACCGGACGAAGCATATTCTGCCCAAATTCTTCTTCACTCATGAGCTACAGAAGGATGGTCAGGTCAAGGTTCAGCAAGTCCGATCAAGCGAAAATTCAGCCGATCTATTCACTAAATCATTACCGACTTCTACACTCCAGAAGCTCATTCATCAGATAGGAATGCGTAGACTTAGAGATCTACAGTGATGCCTAAACCAGGGGGAGTAATGCGTGTTGTACTCTTTTTCCTTCACCATGGTTTTTCCCACTGGGTTTTCCTGGTAAGGTTTTAATGAGGCAACGTTCCCCAGCGCATTATAGAGATCCCGGTTTTGTGACAGGCACGGTTACCTTGTCCAAGGGGGAGTGTTATAAAAAAATGGACTTCTAGTAACCGGCCCATTAACCATCAGGTTAATGTCTCATGGCCCATTAGGGTTTTTGATGCATTAGTTATGTAATGTATATATACACTGCTTATGGAAATAATAAGATCTGAGTTTTTCCCTTAATAAGTTTTCCTTTTTACAAAGTTTTTCTTTTTATTAGATTTTCCTTTTTTATAAGATTATTTCCTTTATTACAAAGCTTTTCTATTGAGCCATAAGAGCTCATTTCAATTTACACATAAAATAATTTTATAAATCTGCAAGTTTTATAAAAAATAGTTCCGACAATGTCTTTTTTTGTTAAAGGGCTTACTTGAATATAAAGAATGTTAACAGATACAATGAATCAAACAAGAACCAAAAGGAGCCTAGGAAAAGATCAAAGCAGGAAACAGATTACAAGGATCATAAAAGGTAGAGCATGCCTATCACAACACGCTTTACCACCAACCAACCAAAAGAAGAGATCAGTCAATTCGGCGTCCAAAGGGCGACCAGGCCATCGCCATATTTCGAACCAATTTGAAGAAGAGCCCTGGATTTGTTCCTAAGAACAGCCAGTATTTTAAGGAGTACCTGAGAGGGTCTTAGGGAAAACCCATCATGAAAACGCCGGTTGCGCTCAGCCCATATCTCAAACATTGAGGCTTGCCATCCCTGGACCAAAGCTAGAAACTGGACCTTTGTCGTTGTCGCAGTGGGGAGCCAAAGCACGACCTCATTCCAAGATCCAGGGATGAAGGATAAGTGAAGATGAGCGAGCACCTCTCGCCAAACCTCATAGGAGTAGGTGCATTCAAAAAACAGGTGGTTTCTCGATTCAGTAGAGGAGCCACATAGCAGACAAGTGTTTTCGACATCCAAACCCCAAGCAGAAAGTCTATCCAAAGTTGGGTTTCTGTTGAGGGTAAAAAGCCAGGCCGAGAAAGCATGCTTCGGAATAGCGACCTTATGCCAGACAAGAGGAAACCAGGCGACTTGAGCTTTGCGATTCCTAATCATATCCCAAACCTCTTTAGAGGAGAAAGAATCCTTAACTTTGCCAGCAACAATCCAAACTGGGTAATCAGTTCTGCACGATGGACTGAGCTGAGAGATGGAAGCATAAACCAGAACCTGATCATCCGATCTAGCAGGTGGCAACCTCCAACTATCTTCAACAACGAAGTCCGATACCAGAGCATCGATAGGGATTCCGATTCGGGAAGGACCTGTAGCCCCAAGAAAGTTGATTAAGGGTCCATGCGAAGTCTACGGATCCCACCAAAAGAAAGTGTCTTCACCATTACCAATCTGAATGGATAAGAATTGTAAAGCCTTCTTTCTTAGAGATAAAAGTTCCGACAATGTCGACAGGTCGAAAGTAGTTGCGAAAGATATTGAAGCTTACCTGATTGTAAATATTTTAGCTGAATTGAGTTCATAATCGATAGGACTATAGGAGCTTAAAAAAAAGATACGAATCTACCCTATGTAACAAGTAGTTTGGGATAATAATTTTTTTTAGCACTAATAACAAAAACACTGAAAAGAGAATTTTTTACCGTCGGGATCCCCAACTATCACCATCACAATTCACGACTTAAGGAATAAGTTTCTCGTTGTCAAAAGAAAAAGAATTTCTCTCCGAGAAAATGATCTTTCATGTCGTTGAAAGTGGAGTGGGGTAAGCCACGGCGGAGAGGTAGGAAGAGAAGAAAAGAATCAGAGACGAAGAAAGGACGAAAGCAAAGGCGGCCATGCACTTTGCGCAAATTGCAACCGACCTTTTCAAAAATTAAGTTTAAATTCCCGATATATATTAGCATTTTGTTAAGATTTGTTAATCCTTAAACCTGATACTCCAGTGTGGGGCATGCTTGAAAGGTTCCGAATCGAAGCCTGGTGGGGAATGGAGAATCTGGAATTGGACTCGTGGTCGTGGACTGGTGAAGATATCGCTGATCATACATAATAGGCCTTTCTTATATATTCATCTTCCTTGTATATTTATATGCTTTTGTTCTTTCTCCAAAAGAGAAACTATTTTGATAAACATATAATATAACCCATGAACAGATCTGTACTCTCGCATATTCACAAAGGCAAAAATCCAAATGCTTTTCTTTGTATGACAGAGTCACAGTCTTGCAGACACACTTTGTCGGTATGGGGTCGTTTGGCAATATGATCCGTACGAACATTTCGTTTTGTTTTTATTTTATTTTTGCTCCATGCTAAGATTTTTTGTTCTCTCTTTTTTTTTATATACATATTAGTCTAAGATTTGTGTAACATATTAATATTGCCTTACATATTAATTTCGTTTTTTTTACATATTAATATTGCCTTATATATTAATCCGTACGAACATTTGCCTTATATATTAATCCGTACGAACATTTGGCTAAGATTAATCTTATATATTAACCCGTAAGGCAAAAAAAAAACATTGTTATATCCTTTGACCAAAAAAAAACATTGTTTTTATTTTGCTACGAATTGTAAATATCATTAAAGGACGATGAAATGTTGAGATTTCATAAAAATGTGACCTATAGTACCTAGGATAACTAAAAATCCGCTGACTAGAACTCTGGGTTTAAGAAACTCTTCCCTATCCAGAAAACTAGGGTTTACGAAACTCTTCCCTATGCTGTTATAGAACTCTGTAGGAATTCTCATATTTATTAAATCGTCAAAACTGAATACATCATTAAGCCTAAAAAACTATTTATAAGATTAAAAGCTAATTGTTGCACAAAAAAAAGAAGATTAAAAGCTAAAACTTTCTATCTACCCTAAACTTAACTAAAATAGGAAAACCATAAAAATAATAAAAATATAGAAAATTCGCTTGTTATAATTTTTTTGGGTACTACAGGGACGTAGGTCATATCATAACTATTAGGATGTTTTCGGCAAGAATTTTTGAGTTGTACGATCACAGAAATTAATTTGGATGAGTCAAGCTTAGGGCTTAGTAATTATGACCTTAAATTGTAACATTTATAAGACATATTAGCAGCAAGAACAATACTGATTGGTCCAGAAAACAAATACTATTATACTATTGATTGGTAAATCACTAGATAGTAAATATATAGTTAATATAGAGTTTTGGTTACAAATTATTAATCATCGATCGTTTACCACTTTGGTGGTAATTTTAGAAAGAAAAGATGGTAGTTTAAAATTTTTCTCTAAAATAATCATTTCTTCATTGCATATACGTACGGATATAGAATTGGACTCCGTTCCATACGCGATCATTTTAATTTATACATCATCGCTAGTACTCGAAATGAGCGTAGCATTAGTTTATATTCTGTTTTGTTACTAATAATAGCCATTAACAGACGTAAAAAAAAGTAGCCATTAGTATAGAGTAGTGGATTTAAAAAAACAAACAAACACGCGTAGATAAAAATTCTTGCCTAATCTTAAAGTTTCGACATTTGGCTTTTAGTGAAGAAAAAAGAGATGACTAACGTTTGACTTGTCAAAGATATATAATATTCGTAAAAAAAATCTGAAATAAAAAAAAAATCGAGATTGGCATAAAAAAACCAACTTGCTTTCTTCGTTTGAAGCTAAACAAGGAATTAAAAGGTCGAATCTTTTTGCAACAGAAAAGTCTTTGAAAAAAGAAAAAAAAAATTGAATGAATAGATTAAAAAGAGAGAGAGGAAAAAAAAACTGAAAAAGGATTTCACGTGTAAAGGAACTCAAGCGTGCTAGCTAGTGTGATAGATTTTGTAGAGCATTATTAATCAATAAATCGACTTCCCCTAACAAGAACCTAATCGACAAAGTACATATATCCAATACACACCGGTCTCTGATGTATTATACATATATCCATGCATGCATGGGAAAGCACAACAGTATGAAGTATGAACTAAGAAATAAAAACACATACAATGATAAAAGAAATATAAACATAGAAATTGGATATCTCGCTTGATCATCTCGAGCCCCGGCGAATATAACTCACTTTAATCCGGTGGATCTACGGCGTTGTCCTTAGGGAATACGAGATCCGAGAAAGAGACATACATAACAACGAAGAACCAAACAAGCCAGAGAGCAATAACGATGAGAGTGAACCTTGGCGAAATAAGGGAGATGATCATAAGAGCTGCGATAGCTCCAAAGAGATGACTAACGTTTCCAGCGAAGTTACGGATATTAGGTTTGTTTCGAAGCTTGACTTCGAAGACTCGGAGGATGGTGTAGATAAGAGTGAAGAGCCAGAAACATAAGATCTTGGCTCTACGTTCTGCTTCGTTGGTTGATGAATTTGTGACCACCTGGAGCAATCCAATTGCTCCTCCATTGATAAAAATGATGAGCCTGTGTACAGTGGAGGAATACGCAACTCGCTCCTCCTCCGTGTTCTCATCACCGGAGCTCTGGCGATTTGCGATTTGAGCAGAAGAGGACATGGCTAATGGTTGTGCTTTTTCTTTGTGGTCTCCTTCGTCTTGTGTATATGTAATATAGTCTCAACCCGCTTCTTATAAGGCTACAACTCGACAACTTCGTATAAGAGTCCATGTGGATATATAGCAACATTTATACTATACATTACCTGAAAAAAAAAAATTTTTGGTAATATAAAGTGAATTAATAAATTATCTTAAGAAGAAAAAAATAGAAATATGGGTCGTTGATAATAAAGAAAAACGAAAAAAATAAAGAAATTGCATGCAAAGTACTGGTTAATTAAAGATCAAATAGAATACATATATGATAAATAAATAAATAAATATATATATATATATATGTATATATATATATATATGACCATCAGCACATCTCCATACATTTTGAGATTGATCAATAAAATTTGCTTTTTATGTATTTTAGCATCGAAAAGTTGATTATATAAAAATGTTATTATTTGTAAATTTTGTGATGGTAATCCACTTTTTTTCTTTTCTTACTTAGGTATATTTCCTTATTGCTATTTTTTTCTGTAATGTTTAGATGACATATTCCCTATTTCTTATTGGTGTAACAGTTCCTTTCATGAATTCTTTCTCTTGTGTGGGGCAGGGGCACTCCCATGTGCTCACAAGAGCTTGTAGTTATGCTTAATCAGATTTGTCACGACTGATTCTTATATGTATGCGTTCACACATATACAAAATCATAAAATTTAACATAATGTATATAATTATTATGATTTTACACGAATTACCTGATAAATTAACCACTATCTAAATATATTTAAGTGATAAATTATTATTTTCCAAATCAAAACGGGATTAGTTTAGGAGCCAGTTAAGAATATTAGTCTGTTCAAGACAGCGAGCCAACAGAGGAAGGAATGCGTCGGGATGTGTTCGTGAACCAAATAGTGATAGAATTGCAAAGATCTAAGAAGAAGAATACACAAATTTGTTAACAACATATACAAACGATCGTATCATGAATTGCCCTATAGAATATTCACGTTTAAGGAAACTAACTAAACTTTTCACAAAAGAGGAAACTACCTAAACTAATATTATATACATAAAAGGAAACTACCTAAACTAATATCATATACATTAAGCATATACAATCATATTATATCTCATTAAATCGCTTTATGCTATGACACCGAGTTTCCAAAGTTGTTAGTTTCTCAAGTGGCTGAAGTTGAGAAGGACCTGAAGCTCCATTGACCACTACGCACATCCTGACTAATCCGTGAGTCAATAGGTAGGCTCCAGTATTCTCGAACTTGAGCTCAAAATCTAGTATTATGATTGAAAAAGAGACGGTTTAATATTTTATGTTTTCTTTTAATCTAGTATAAATACTATTGAATTTTTTTTTTTCATTTTAATTTTAATTATTCTTTTTGAATCAGAGGAAACACTATATATATATATATATATGATTTTCTCTTTAATTTTCATATACTTTTAGTTTTTTTTTGGGTTATATATAAGTATACTTTTATATTCATTATGATAAGCTATACATATATGACAAATATTATACAGTGTCAAAATTTAAAATTAAGTTAACAAACCATATATTTTAGTTTGATGAAAATGGATTGAGTGATCTATCCAACTTTTTTCGCATTCAACCAACCGTGCATAAGACTTTCACCTCGCATGATTCTAAGACTTTCACTTTGCATAATTCCTAAGTGATACTCCATTTGTTTCAAAGGAATAGACGTTTCACACAAAATTTTTAGAATTATTCTTTTAATGTTGTTATTAAATATTACTTAAGTTTTATCTTTAAAATAATAAAGAAAGGTAATTAATTAGGTCAAAAAGAGCAAGAACTGCACCTAGCTTTAATAATTGTCATCAGTAATAAAGATAAACCGAATCAATTGTTTAAAGAAATCGCCCTATTATATGTTTGTAACGGCTTACAATGTTTATATGATTCGAGATTGAAGAAGGAAATTCGTCTGAAAAACCGTCTAAAAATGGTAGATTTTTACAATTTGAATGAGATCAATTTAAAAAAATATTTTGAGAAGAAGAATTTGCTAATTACTCCGTATAAGAACTTAGCGGTAAAGAGGAATTGGTTGGGAAAGATAAATCTCAAAATTTTGATTTTAATAAATTATCTTAGTTATTTTTCTTATTTTTAAAAAAATAATTCTTAATTTAAAATATTTATGGATTCATATATTTATATAATGATTTTTAAAAAATTATTATTTTTATTATTTCATCATTATATACTGACTCAATTTAAAATCAATTTAATAAATTTATCGAATATTAATTTATAAAATATCTACAAGTGGACCAACCAATGGGTGTGTGACAAGATTTTGTAGAGAATTTTATAATCAACAATAAAGAACCGAACAAACATGTTCCAAAGTGTCAATTAAACAACAAACGAGACAACGGTCTCAGATAATAAAAATCATAAAATTAATTAATTAATTAATTAAGAGCTCTTAAATATGTTCCCCCACAATGCATGGGAAACCATAGCAGTAAGGTATAAAAAATAACTTGATAGAGATTGAGATACCAAGTTTCCAACCGATCGAAATTGGATATCTCGGAGACGTCTTGATCATTTTGAGCTCCGTTGCGGCGTTATCCCCCGGGAATACGAGCTCTAAGAAAGAGACATACATAATAACAAAGAACCAAACAAGCCAGAGAACTCACTAACATACGAATCAAAGAAACTACCAAAATTTCCTGATCAAACGGAGAACACGAGAAACAGAGAATGAAGAAGAAATAAAATATGACACGAGAAGATTTACGAGTTTATAATCAATCTCTGAACGAGAATCGCTGTTTGATTAGGTAATTCCAATCGATGGGTTGGTAAGAATTATAGACAGTGAATATACACAAAGATGGGGAGATTAGCCGTTGGGGATAATCAATATTTTCCTAAATTACATATAGAATATATGGCTCCTATTTTATTTATCCCTACGTCTCGACCACAGCTACACCAAAAATTCACTATATTATTCGAAAGATTACAAACATTATATAATCGTCATCTCACAAACCCGAGAGAGAGAGAGAGAGAGAACAATTCAAACAGAATTTCAAAGCATAGTTTTTTACAACGGAATAACAAAACTCGATTTACCTATACCACATAACTCTCCTATTCTCATAATCCTCTGATGCAAAATAAGACTCCTTTTAAACAAGACTGCTAAGAACCAACTGTTAGACCGTATCTTAATCAAAAGCTCAATTCGATATCACATATTAAGATATTAACTTTTAATTTTTTTGGGTTTGCCTATATGGTCCAAATGAACCATTATGCCCTGCTAAATTTGCTAGCAGTGTTGGTAACCACCTAACCATAAAGAGCCTCATTTCGTTTGACTACCTCTCGTTTGATTGGAGAATAAGCAAAGTGTGTCCTCCCTGCAAAATGAAACCAATCATAAAAACCACTCTTAAAAGTAAAATGTAACGTCGAAAGTATTCAAAAAAAAAAAAAAAACATTTGATGCAAATGTCATATTGTTGGCGTAAGTCCTTGTGTATCCAATAACTTGATTGTTAAAAAACCATGGCCTCCATTGATCAATGATCGAATATTGTAGAGATCTAATCCAAGCTTGGGTTCCAAGAAAAGGCACAAACATGTCATGATCACCACTATAAGCCAATGACCTACAAATCCCTTTGATGCAATCATGAGTTGGAAGAGGAAGATCTGAATGAGCAAGTTCTCTAACATCTCTTTTCGAAAATGCTTTTTTGAAAACGGATTTGGCGATGCAAGATCACACAATGGTGTCAAAATGAATGCGTTATTTATTCTTGAAACACACTGGTTGATCATCATCACCAAACCAAAGACTCCCAAATTAGTCGTAGCTATTCACAATTCTAAAACTTGTGTTCAACTTTTACCTTATCGTAAGTCTTGCATCAATTTCAAGCATCGTGTATTACTAGGATTTATTTTTATATAGACTCCTTCGGAGTTACATTGTGGTGGTGCGTGGATAGTCCGAGATAGCAACGGAGAAGCTCTGTTTCATGCACGGATGCCTTTGAAAGCTTGCCAAATAGAGCTTTTTTTTTTTTTTTGCTACAACTGCAAATATCATATATAATGAAAGTTAGATTTTACAAAAAGCAAATCTAATATTTGTACAACCCTTGACAAAAAAGAATAAAAAACAAGGGAGCACTAAGAAGAGATTAAATTGTCAAAGATGCTAACTGATCATCTAATCCATAAGCACATCAAATCTTTAAATTTCTTCCTGTGCCTTCTCGCTGAGATGATATTTTTAACCTTACGGTCGATTCCATTCAAGACAGTAAGGGCAGCAAGAGAAGTCTGGTTGTGGAGAACATTGTTTCTCTGCTTCCATAAGTGGAAGATCGTCGCCTGAGCAGCAATCTTCTTGAGGATGGTCGGACTCTCTGGCGAAGATATTCTAAGCCACGATAGAAGCTCATTCCAAGACAAGAACATCTGCCTATTATGATCGAGCCTGGAAAGGGTTAGTCTCCAAACATCGCGGCTGTAGTCACAATCAAGGAGGAGGTGATCCCGCGTTTCATCTAAGCGTGAACAGAGACAGCAAGAGGACGGGATCTGAAGACCCCAGGAGACGAGGCGAGCTCGGGTAGGAAGCCTATCCTGATTTGCAATCCACATCGTGAAGGAGTGCTTCGGGATGCATCCTTTAAACCACACAAGTCTTGCCCAATTCTGCTTTTCAGCTCTCGGTCTCATAGCATTCCAGGTTTTGGCAGAAGAGAACATAGCTCCCGAGCTTCCTTCAGTGCACCATTCGAAAGAATCAGCAGGCGAAGTAGGAGAAGGAGGCGAGACTGTTGTAAGATGGACATGGAGATTAAGCGCCTCTTGAGATCTGGGGTTAGCCAAAGCTCAGCCCTGGATATCACAAGCATCAGCAACAACAGCGTTGATCGGAATACGCAAAAGTCTTGGTCCCGCAGATCCCAAATAATGACTTAGCTGACCGAATGGTGTCCATACGTCGAACCAGAAACTGATAACCTTCCCATCCCCCACACGCGCTTGCAAAAATCTCAGAGCTTCCGATCTTAACCTTAGCAAACCTTTCCAAGTCCAAGAGTCCTGCGCAGATTCCACAATATTCCAGAAACTCTTATTTCTCAAACGAAAGACTCGCTGCCATGCCACCCACAGAGAATCAGAGCTCGAGAACAACAGCCAGATAAAACGAAGAGAAAGGGTTCTATTCCACACAGAGAAGCTTCGAAGACCCAAGCCGCCTTCCTCTTTGGGAAGACATACTGTTTTCCAGGCTACTTTAGCAACCTTGAAGTTATCAATGTTCCCAGACCACAGGAATCTAGAACAAAGAGATTCAATCTTCCTAATACACTCTAATGGCAGAATAAAGGTGGAGATCCAAAAGTTAACAGTTCCAGATATGACCGACGTAATCAACTGGACTCTACCAGCAAATGAGAGAGTTTTCACCGCCCACGCCTTGAATCTGCAAGTGATCTTGTTTATCAACGGTTCATACTCTGCTATCTTGAGCTTGCGACTCATGAGAGGAAGGCCGAGGTATCTAATAGGCAAAGAAGCCACCGGGAATCCATAGCTAGCAATAGCAGTGGATTCAGATGGATTCAATCCTGCATGAAATAATTCTGTTTTGCTTCTGTTCATGTGAAGACCGGACCAACTTGCAAAGTCATCGAGGCACTCATTTATACCGTGTAAACTGTCACCGCTACCATTGAAGAATACCATGACATCATCCGCAAACATAAGGTGAGAGACCTTCAAGCTGGCGGTGTTAGGATGGTAAGCTATGGACCCAGAATCATACCGAGATTGAAGAAGCTGCGTGAACACTTCCATAGCCAGAACAAATAGGTACGGCGAGAGAGGGTCGCCTTGTCTAATACCCTGCGAACTGTGGAAAACTCCACTCGGGGATCCATTAACCATGATCGAGAACGTGGGGGTGGATATGCACTGCTCGATCCAAACCCTGAATACATCCGGAACATTTAACGCCTTGAGAGCTCCCAATATAAAGTCCCACCTAACCGAGTCAAATGCTTTCCTTAAGTCGACCTTAAGCATTGCTCTCGGCTCCACTTGGCTTCTGCTATAACCATGGACAAGATCAGTAGCTAGCAGCACGTTCTTGGACAAAAGCCTTCCTGGCATAAAAGCCGACTGACAATTTGATATCACACTAAGGAGCACAGCCTTCAGTCTACCAGCCAACAGTTTAGAAATCACCTTAAAGACCGTGTTGAGGCAAGAAATGGGTCTGAAATCAGATATGCTCGACGCGTTCAGAAATTTGGGAATCAGCACAAGAGAAGTAGCGTTCCACTGCTTGAGCAGGCGACCAGTAGCAAAGAATTCATTAATAGCCTCAGTAGCTTCAACTCCGACCACATTCCAGCATGAGGTAAAGAATTCAGCAGAGTACCTGTCAGGACCGCTGGTCTTGTTCTTCGGAAGAGAGAAGAAAGCTTCTTTAATCTCAGCATTTGAGAATGGCTTAACCAACATGTTCTGCTGATCCTGCGTACACTTAATTGGCAGAAGAATGTCCAGGTCACTCTGGACAAACAGAGGGGGGTGGACAGAACCGCCAAGCAAATTTGAGAAGTAATCAACGCAGTGATCCTTTATACCGGCCGGCGAATCAATCCTAGATCCATTGCCATCAGTCAGAAAGTGGATTTGGTTCTGAGATCTCCTTGAAGCCGCCATTCTGTGGAAATAAGCCGTATTGCTGTCACCGAGACCAAGCCATGAAATCCTAGACCGCTGGCAGAAGAAAGATTCTTCCGCATGAGCTAAAGCTTGCCACTTTTCTAAGGCTTTGAATTCAGAATCAGCATTAAGAGAAGAAGGGCTTTGAAGCATCTTGTCTTGCGCATACAGAATAACCTCGTGAGCTTCCTTGACTCTCTTTTCCAGGTCAGAATAGTTATCCTTGCTAAACTCACGAATAGCTTTCTTTAGAAGCTTAAGCTTCATCGAGAACCTAAACATCGCTGAACCGACACCATTAAAGGAATACCACTGAGATATAACCATCGGCAGGAACTCATTATTCTGAATCAAAAAGTTAAAAAACTTGAATGGACCCTTAGGCTTGATCTCATTAGGGTCAAGAGACACTGACCAGGAAGCATGATCCGAAAAGTCGGGACTCCCAAAGAAAGCAACAGACGACGGAAAACAATCACCCCACGCATCGTTAACCAAAGCTCTATCGAGTTTCTTTGCTATTGGATTGCTTCTCCGCTTATTCCACCAAGTGTGCGTGTTCCCTCTATAATTCAGGTCAGATAAGTCCGAGTTAAGCAGGCATTGTCTAAACAATCTCGTTCTCCTATCCACATTACCACTTATGGATTTCGAGCTCTCACCAGGATGGAGAGTCTGATTAAAGTCACCGAGCACCAGCCAGGGCTTCCCAGCAACTAACTGACTAGATCCAAAGCCCGATAGTTCATCCCACAAATTAACCCTTTCTACCGCAGAATTGGAAGCATACACCACAGAAACAATGATCACTTTGAGAGAAGTCGGGAGAGTTACCTCACAACTGACCATTTGAAGAGACTTAGATATGACCAACACCTTGACACTCGGGTGCCAAACCACCCAGATCTTGCCTAACTCAGAGAATTTATAGTTCTCCACAGAACCCCAGCCCGGAAAAAGCTCGCTAATAAACTTCTTATCCTTAGGCTTCTTAACATGGGTTTCTATAATGCCGCCAAAAAAAGGTTTGTTTATTTTAAACCACTTTTTAAAACCGCTACGATGACTATAAACATTGAAACCGCAGACGTTCCAGCAAAAAAGGTCTTTACACATAATCTAATGTTTCTTGGGGCCCTTGCCCCCAGTGCCAACCGCACCAGATCTTTGCTTATTAGGCAACTCTTTTGAGACCGTGTTTATTTCCAAAATCTGGCCTTCCTCCACATCCGATTCACTAGTGGGAATGTCCGAAGAATCCTCTGCAACATCTGAAGACACCTCACCCGATAAAACAATCTCTTTCTGCTTGCTCTGATCTGAGGCGGTCAGAGCCGAAGAACTAGATTCACCCGGATCAAAATCTTTGGAAAGACCTAGAACCGGCTTAGCATTAGCAACAACTTTGACATTTGAATCTCTCGCAGCGTCTTTGGATGCAAGCGGGACCTCTGCCCAAACTTTTCCTTTACTCTTTGATCGACCACGGCGGGTTTTCTTGCCTTTAGTCTCATCTGGTTTCGCCTGCGAGCACTGGCCAGAGCCATGGGCTGAGGAATTACAAATACCACAAACCTTCAAGATTTTAGGGCATCGCTTAACATTGTGACCTATCTCCTTACAATTCTCACAGACAGGGGGCATCCAAGGGCTAGAGACTAGGACCCTGCTTATGATTCCCGATTCAAACTAGACATTTACTGCTTCAGGCAACGGTTTTCTAGGATCGATAATAGTAAACACTCTGGCAACTTCCAAATTGGTTTTGTTTGCAGTTGATGGATGAAGGACCTTCGGTTCACCCACCATCCCAGCGATCTCGCCAAGGCATTCATCATTGAAGAATTGGAATGGCACATTCCTCAATTCTAGCCAAATTGGAGCAGAAGATAGCTCCGGTTTGACGGGGATAACACCAGGCTCCCATTTGGCTACAAACATGGTTTGGCCTTCAATCTGCCAAAGCCTCTGGTTTATAACTCGGTTTCTGGTAAAAGCATTCGAGATGCAGAAGAGGAAAGAGTTGCCCTCCATTCTTGATACCGATATATCTCTATACTGTTTGCTCCATATACCGTTCACAATGTTATGGATTATCCCTTGTGAAGGAGGGGCAGAATAGAATTGACCCAAGACAAAGCATTCCCACGATTTCTTATTTTTCTCAATCACAGAGTTGGGAATTCTTACACATGATTCACCGGAAGGCAGATTGAAGGATTCCCTCTTCCTTTGGAGTTGTTTCGCAGTCCCTTTGACCAGGGAAACCCATGAATCCGATGAAGCCTTAGCAGGGGTTCCAGCTGTCGTTGTTTCCGCCGCAGATTTAGCTTCAGCAGCCAAATCATCTATCAGTGGTGTGTTCGTGCGCTCACGGACTTCATCACTAGTTATAGTTTTTTCAGGATCAGCCACGGAAGCAGCGATCTCAGTAGCAACTGTATTGTTTGATTCAGATCCTAAATCTGATTCAGTGTGGGCCGACGTAACAGCGATTGGAGCATCAGGGGAAACGGCGACGAGCGAGTCATCCTTTGGAGAGGAGATCAGCACATCAACCGGAGCTTCCAAGACTGGCGGAGGCAAGACAACAACCTGAGCAGGGGGAGAAATCAAAGGAGGAACAGGGGGTTTTTTAGGTCTGGGTTTTTTAGGTGGGGTTTTTTTGGGAGAAAGCTGCCCCATGAGGAGAGGCGGGCTAGCGAAGGGAGAATCGAAGATTTTACGGCGAAGGAGCCGCCGGGCGGCGACCGAAGGGCGGCGACCGAAGAAAAAGACACAGCAATCGCCTAAAAATCGCACTTTTTCAAAACAACTCCCTGAATAGATACATAACAAGAAGTGATAGGCCAAATAGAGCTGTTGCTGAACTTAGAGGAGTGATTTGGGCGCTTCAAAGCATTCATGGATGCGATCATTGCCTTGGATTGTAAAGCTGCTTTTTGATGCGAACTCTAAAATTACTATAGTTAGCAATTATAATTCCTTATGTTGACAGTTAATTTTGAGAACTGAAAATCGAATCGTTGCTTTTGCTATAAGTATAAGTTTTTTTTTGTTTACTTATTTATTTTTGGTAATTGACGAGGATAAAAGTATGGTCCCATATCAGTAAAAGGTCATTTTCAAAATAAGACGGGAAAATGGGCAGTGGATTTCAGAGGAAAGAAGCTTACAAATCCTGTTTTGATAGCTGGAGATTTTGGATGCTGGGTGTCCCTCAAATGTGTATGTTTTCAATGTTTTGATGAACAATTTTTTTTAAAGAACCCTATATGAGAACCAATGGAGGTAAAAAAAATCAGGTTCTAAACTTTTAAATTATCATTATTTACTATTAAAAAAAATTCTGAAGAACTCCTTCATGGGGTTTAGTAATGGACCTGCTCTTATACCGTATGTTACATTCAATACGGTTTATATATCAAACCGGAGCGACGTTATAAATCGACCAAACCCTTATATTTTGGTTTATATCCTTAAAAGTTAAAACTCTCTTTCACATTGAGACAGACATTTGTTTTTTAATTAGTAGCCCAAAATCCAAAAACCCAAAATTCAAACCAAAAGACCATGAACCATTTTGAAACTACATCATCTCCATCGGTAGATATTACTGAGTATATCAGCAATACTGTATACACTATATAAAAAAAAAGTTGGAGAAAGAGAGCAGAGTATCTCAAATGAGAACGATGAGATAGTCTTGAAAAAATCTAATGACAGTAGTTGTCAGTTTGTAAATGGCTCAATTTTATTTTAAGTATAAAAATTTTAATTAAATAATTGAGTTTTATTAAAGTATTAATAATTTTTAGTTTCAGATATCAAAACTTTAGCTATGGAGTAATGGAGATGCTCTACACTTATATTTTCCGAGTGATACAAAGTGGAAAACATGGCTAAACTGGTGGCGACTGCGGTGTGTTTGGCCCAGAGTAGATCAAGAGTTCACGTAGAACGTTGTAAACGACTGAGAAGAAACAGAGAAACCAGAGAAGAAGAAGAACGAGAGCAAACGTGGCATAAACTACAGATATCAGTACGATGGCTGCGAGACCACCGAGCAGATGGCTCGTGTGTCCCACAAGTCTCGCGACGAACCCGCGTCGCCGCCTGACATCTATCGCTTCAACGACGCGAAGGACTGCGTACAACAAAACGAGGAGACAGAAACAGAGCAATGCTGGTTTGTTTGTTTCGAAAACAGATGAAGCGATTATGTCGTTAGGAGAAGTCATTGTTGTTGTCGATTTCTCCTGGTTCAGGAGTTGGAGTAGTCCTAGAATTCCGGCGTTGACCATGACGATGACCTTATGGACTGCCGTGGAGTATGCGGTGAACTTCTCTGGTTCATCGTCGGAGATGGGGAACGGTTGGTTGTTTTCAGAGACAGATGCCATATGAAGAATATTCTTCGATGTTTTTCGTGTTTCCTTGTTTTTTTGGATAAATGTTTTTGGTGTTCTTTTTCAACATGGACACTAAACCTTATATAAGAGAATTTTTCGTACCAACACGAAACATCGACATCGGTCCACGGTGCCACCGTCGGAGGCAGCACCTATCGAGGTGGGTGACCCAGGTGAAATCAAGAAAAAAATTGAATTGTTGGATTATAAATTATCCCATATTGATAAAGTAGTATAATTTAGAAGTGGAAGTTGCACTATTAATAAGAAGTCTTCTTAAAATACTAATTTATAAGTTGTGGACTCATTCTAAAACTTATACATATTTAGAAAAGAAGCTTCACATTAATTTTTGTTTTCTAAAAAGGGTAGCTGCATATTGATCAACAAACTATAAATTTCAACTAATTCACATGAAACTTCAATTCCCTTTTTATTTTTGGAAATCCCTTAAGAGGTAGTTAAGTTGCTTGACTATTTATTTTAAGTAATTTAAAATACAGACACCAATCATCGATGTTTGTGATAATAGCACACAAATTTTTAAATATTATATTAAGATTAATATATTTTTTTATTCTTTTTGTTGCGACCGCAACCGTGAATAGTTGTTTTCTGCAATAAAAATTGTGAAGATGACTTCGTGTATTAGCATTTGTGATGAGTCTTAAGCGAATTTCTAGTTTTTTTAATTAAAATATAGGTGCTTGAAACTATCACAAATGAAACTGTAATAAAACAATTTCAAAATATGAATGAGCGTAGAGTATACCTTTGAGATGTTTATTAATGGTGAATTTTTTTTTCATTAAAATTTAGATAATTTTTTCTATTATGATCCATGTCAATAATTTTTCTGCCTCCACCACTGAGTCCACGTCCACACCGCCCGGACTACCGTGATGGGGTCCTACTCCCATTAGCTAGCTGTCGTCTTTGGTATCTCTGGTAATTAAAAACGGTCTCTGGTTTAGCTGTTTTTAACTGGTTACTTTACTTATTCTCTTTTTTTTTTACTCACTTATTCTTAATCAAAGAACCTAAAGAAACCAGTTAAAAACACCTCGAAAATCGATCAAAGAAAGTATTTTGTAATTAGGAGACTGAGATTATTGTCATCTCATTGGAGTACGACTTGGATTATTTTAAATTTTGATTCCGGATGTCTCTTGTTCTTTCAATTTTCTCTATGTGAATTTTGTCACTATTTTTTTTCTGGGTGAATCATAATGTAAAAGTAAAAAGGACTTGCTTATGTTATCTATAAATAAATAATAATACCTCCAGTTAGGAGTGGGCACAGAACTGATATTTTGGATTTTGGGGATATCCGTGATCCGCTCCGCTCCATCCGGATCATCATCTTTCTGATCCGTATCTGCTTTGTAATTATCTGGATATCTGCTTTTCGGATATCTGCCAAAAATCCGAATATTTGCCGGATATCTGATCCGTTTCGTAAAAAAATTAAATAATAATAGATTTAAAATAAAGTTACAAAATTTAGCCAAAATAGTAATATTTTCTTTAAAATTTTTTTTCTTAACTTATTAAGCTTTAATATTTATAAAAATAAAATTTGCAAACAATAATTCACAAAAATTACATTTATATATAATAATTATACAGTATATATAAATTATTATCTATATATATATATATACATATACTAATATCGGAGTGGAGCGGATATCCGTCTTAATTTTTTTAGTATTTGTGTTTTGCTCCGGCTTTAACGAATACTGAATTTTAATATTTGTTTTGCTCCATAAAATTACATACATCTGAATAACGGATTAAAGCAAATCTAACAGATATTTCGTCCAGCCCTACTACCAGCAAGAAGCCAAGGACTTTCTCACATTAATTATTTATTTCCCATAGGAACGATATGAATTTGGTGGTGGTCATATGATTGCTTCTTGACCTTATGGCCGTCTGCTCAGTATCTTTGACCACATCGACGTTTTAGGCAAGTTTTATAAAGAGGCTTGCTCTAAGAGCATGTGCATCACTCAAGGGATCTCTTAGATATTAAAAAAAAAAAATCTAAATATTAGGTTTTTTAATTAGGAGACCGAAGAAACATTTCTTATTTGATAAGTGTTAACAGATTGATTATTGGAGAACTGAAGAAGAGAGACATGTCGAGTTTTTCTCTCTTCTCTCTTCTTCTCTCTTTTTTTTTTCTCTCTTTTTGTCCTTTTTTTTTGTCTCTCTTTCTGTTTTTTGACTTCAATTTTAATATTAAAATATTTTTTAAGAATGTCACATCACATGCTCTTAGTTATCAATAATGAAAGCGCGAGGACTTTTTATTTTTGAACATTTTCTAAAAAACGCAAGGACTTGTTTTATCTATTCTATTAAAACAGAAGCACATTTAGTGCTTGCATCCAAACACTTCCAAAGTTTTTTTATAATATTTTATTTTATTTTTATATTTAATTTCCGAAAATTAGTTACTAATTTAGATATTTTTAAATTTCCTAAAATCTAGGTCATTTTTAATTTAAATTTCAAATTATTAGAAATTTAATTAAATTTAGTTACAAAAATTTGCATTCAATTTATTTTAAATTCAAAAAATTCAAAAAAATTATAATTAAATTTTATTATAAAATTTTAGATAATAATTTTAATACTTTAGAATTTCTTAAATACAGAAAAGATTTAATTTAAAATTTTAAATTTAAATAATATTTTATAAAAATACATAGTAAATAAATATTTTATCGTATTTTATCATAAACAATCGGTATAAAATATCAAATATTTTAGATTAATAAATATGTGTATTATACAATAATATGATCGAGCTGATTAGAGTTATATATATATATATTTAAGGTCCATGAGTTAATTTATTAAAACATGTAAGATATTAAGATGATTTGAAACAATTAAACTAACAGGTTAGCCCGTATATATATATATTTTTTTTTATTTTTTTAATAGCACAAATAATAAATAAATATCTTATTATATTTTTTCATAATCAATTGGTCCAAATATTCTATATTAGTAAATATTTATAGGGTTATATAATTATAATTATAGTCTTATACGGGTTAGTTTGTCAAAACATGTAAGATATTAAAAATGATTTAAGACAACTAAACGGATGGATTAGCAAATTCATAGATATATAGATTGTTTATGTATAAATCTAAATTCACATAATAACAAAGTTTATAATTAACATTAGATCAATGTATACTTAATTAAAGTATATTTTTATTTTACTAATATATAAATTTTACTGTTTAAAATTAAAATATGATAACAATTTTTTGATTTAAAAAAATAAATAACAAAAATAAATTATATCTAAACAAAAAAAGATAAATGCAACTTATATTAAAAATAAAAAATAAAACATTCCAGACGCACGAGGTTAAAATCTAGTTATTTATTTATTTGTCGTAAAAACGATATGAATATGGCGCCTATATGTTTCCGATCACGACAGGTCCGTGCCTGGATCCGTGGATGGTTGGAAGTTTCTTTTTCTTTTCTTTTTCGAAATATAAAATAATCATATGTATAATTGCACCAGCAGAGAAGTTTCAAACACCGAAGTTACTCCCATCCGCTGGCGGTAACATAGTTTTTTTTCTAAACATTAAGATTTCTATCATTTTCAACTTATTCTTATTCTATTTTTATTCAAAGAACTTAAAGGAATTTAGAAACCAGTCGATAACACCTCGAACTGAGGTTGATGTTGTAGCGTTAAAAGAGAAGATTCTAGCATTGCGCTCCTTTCACACTAAATAGATCGTGGCTTATACATGATGAGCTTGATGATGGTGGTAGTTGGAGAACGAGCCTGACGCCTTGGCTGAAGAATCCATCAGGTTGTTGAATGGAGGTCCCAATGTTGGATTACGCCAAACTGTAGAAGCAAATTGACGCCAAATATGTCACACGGCAATCGATGTTTTTAAGAAGTTCTAAATTCGAGCACCGATTGCTGAAACGAGGGGGTGATCAGTGATCTATATGTCGTTGTTTTTTTAGTCTCAAAGAGACTATAGGGGTTAAGTGTATTTTTTCTTTCTTAAAGAATGAAAACAATTACAACAGCACCACAAGGCAAAACATTGCCTTGATCCTCCCTAGAGCAATGCAGGCTCCATTTATCACCATAATTGGATTGTGATGAGAAAGCGGCGAACCATAGAAACGAGCGGAATTCCTTCTTATTGAGCTTCTTGAAAGTGTACAATATACAAAGTAAATGCATCTCATGATATCTTCAAAGAGTTTATTCGGGTTTACGTGGCTGTGACCATCAAGTATATGTGATGATCCAGTAAAAGTGTACAACTTTATAGTATACAATCAATATAGAAAAATTAGAGCTACAGTTGAAAATATAGAGGAGTCAATAATTTTGTATTTTGATATACAGTATATAAATTAATACTCGATAAATTAATAATCATTATAAATTAATAAATTTCTCTGATTCCAAATCGGGCTAGTGTAAAAATCTATTAAATTCGATAAGATAATAAGATACTAATTTTTTTGAAACTCCTATATAAATATATGGTCCCAACAAAAATATAAATAATAATTATATAAATATATACAAATTTATATAAATATACTATTCTAAAATATGACTAATGTGTTTACTTTTATTTAAAGTTGAAATCTAATTGGATCAATTATCTCTAATTTTTATATTGTAGCTTTAATTTTTATTTTACGATATGCATTCAAAATTTATGATGATTTTTTTGATGTGATAATTAATTTTTATCTGTAAAAGTTTCTAAATGTATTGTAGTGTCATCTTTAATTTTATCATCAAAAATTAGTATAGTAGCCATAATTTTTTTATAAATTTAAATTTATGAACATGTATATTTTTACATGGACAATCCAATATGTTATTAAAAATTATTCTATTGCGATAAATATGACTGTTTATTATAATTTGTATTAAGAAATTTGTTTAAAATTTTAAATATAATATTATTCGAAAGAAAGTTTTAGAACATTATATGCGAAAAATATTTTTTTTTCTATAAATTAATAACTAATAATTTATACGTAAATTAATATCATGATAAATTAATAAAATATTATGGTCCCATAATTATTAATTTATAGAGGTTTTGTATTCATCCTCCTCGTATTTATAGTGATGCTTTTTTTTTTGGGAACAATTTCATAATAGTACACCAGCTAAATTTCTATATATATGAAAAATATATTAGTTTAATATTTTCCATTTGTATTTTCATAGTTAATTAATATCATTTTCAAAAATCAATTCAATTATTTTTATAAAAAAAACTGAAATATGTTTTCAACATTTAAATTATTTTTTTACGGGTTGGTCGAGAAAATATTTTAGTAAATTACGAAATAGATTAAGCAGATGGGTTTGTCTACTTTGATAATCCTATATATAATCATTATTAACATGTATTATAGGATTCATTAACTAAAAATGATAATTTGATCTCTAATAATGTATTCACGATTAAATTTTTATTTTATATTTAGATTATAATCTATGTTGGTATGTATATAAGTATATATATATATATATCTATATATATATATTAACATCATATCATTTTCATATTTAAAAACTACTGATAATTAAACTGCATAACAAAACTAGCTCAAACTCCTATTCGATGGATATATATACAAAGAAATATCAGCTATGTGATATTTATATATGTATTGTTATTTAATTGCCATCAATTTTATTTATTTAATTTTTTTGTCAAAAAATTTTTGGCACCATTTTTAATTTAATCAAAAAATTAAAATTAAATTTTAAAAACAATTTTAAAAACATTACTTTGCACATTGTGCGGACTAATTTCTAGTAACCAATTAATGGCCAAGGCATACAACAATCTAATCCCTTAAATAGTTTTTATTAGTTCTTTTTGAAAAAGAATTTGATACAATTTTATTATATTCATAATTTTTGTAAAACAAACTTTTAGACAAAACTCTCTCTGAAAATAGTTGCGGACTGATAAAAACGCTGCCAAAAGCTAGACAAAAACCACATAGATATATATGGGAATCCCCATAAAAATGTGCTAGTATAGTGAATGATTTAAATGTAATTTATAGCAACAACTTTAAATGGTCGAATGTGGTTACTGAAAAGAGAAAATCATTAATATTTTTATTATTTGATCTTTAAAAAGCTATGATGTTGGATTATTCATGGAGCTCACTGTGTTAAAGAGGTTGGCCATTTATCCACCTTTCAAACATAATGAAGCCCTCCTCTGGTTTATACTCTACAGTGTGCCCTCCTCCCTGCAAAATGAAGCCAAATACAAAAACCATTTTCAATTTGAAATGTAACGACGAAAATATTCAAAAACAAAAAAATTGATGAGAAAACAAAAGAAAAAGGGACTTGCTTTGATGGTGGCAAATGTCATATTGTTGGCGTAAGTCCTTGTGTACCCCATAATTTGGTTGTTAATAAACCAAGGCCTCCATTGGTCAATGATTGAATAATTTAGAGATCTAATCCAAGCTTGTGTTCCAGGAAAAGGCACAAACATATCATGATCACCACTATAAACTAATGACCTATAAAACCCTTTCATGCTATTGTTTAGATGGTACGGTACACTGCTCTTTATATCTTTCTCATAAGCCATATCCCAGTCGCATCTCACCCATTTCTCTATACTTCCCTGCAAATTTCACATTCATACATTGATTAAACAAATGCTTTATTATTAGGTATTATAAATAATGACATATATGTGCATATGGACGTATGTATGTAACTGTGACATACTTTCACCACATGAAGTGCTCTGCGTACATCTTCATCATTAGCCCAATTTGTAGCTAGCAAATACCGATACGTCTGCATATTTCAATGGTTTAGCTAAATGATTAGGAAGACTACTTCAATGGATTTTGTATATTTCATTTTTTTTTACTTACATAGCAATCATGAGTTGGAAGAGGAAGATCCGAGTGAACAAGTTCCCTAACATCTCTTCTTCCAATATGCTTTTTTGAAAACGGATTCGGCAATGAAAGATCACACAATGGTGTCAAAATTAATGCGTAATTTAACCTTGAAACACACTGGTCCATCATCAGCATCAAACCAAAAAGTCCCAGTTAGTATTCGCTATTCACAACTCTAAACTTGTGTTCAACTTTTACCTTATCGTAGTCTTGCATCAATTTCAAGCATTGTGTATTACTAGGATCTATATTTACATAATTTCCTTCGCAGCTTCTCTTAAGAGACTGCAAACAAGAGTTTCAAGAAACCATTTCCATAAAAAAAAAAAAATATACATGCATTTTTGTGGAGAAGGGACAAGATAAGACTTCAATATACCTCATAGAGTTCATCAGAGATCAGTCCCATCCCATGAGCATATGGGATCCTATAGTTATAATCAATATAAGAATCTGTTGACGGGTTCCCAAGAACATAACCCTGTTGGTATAAATGAAACTCAAAGATGTTATATATCTATTTATAACTCTATATATTACGTTAAGATAAACATATGAGTGAAGATATTGATGAACCTTAAGATTGATTAGAGGTTTGTAGCCATGTTCATTTCCTGCGTAACGTTAATGTGAAAGACTGTAATGAATCCAGAGAAGATGGATGGATTTTTGGGGGATTGATTATAATGGCAAAGAAAAAAAAAAGCAAACCTATTGAGATTTGTTGAACAATAGCTGGAACAATTACACCGGCATAAGAATCTCCACCAACATAAAAATGATTTGAGACAAACTCTGGATGCTCTACAAGCCACTGAAACAATAACAACAATCAAAACGATTATTTATCTATAAGCTATATATACTTATGTATATTAGCTATGCTTAAGAGTCTCAACAAAACACTCTGAAAAGGGTTCAAGAAATCAAAGACCTTTTGAAGAAACTCATAAGTCTGTTTTGCTTCTCCTGTGTCACTAGGCTTATCCACAAGAGGATTTGTTGAGTAGGAGAAGCCAGTCCCAACAGGTTGATCCAAGAATATTATGCTAGCTATCTGAGAAATCATCAAACCAACAAAATCTTGATACCGGTAAAACACCGAAAAAGAAAACAAAAAAAAAGCCTATAGCTAGTTTGTGATAGTGAATGTCTAAGGGAGTGACCTTTGTCCAAGAATATGAAGTGGAAACAAGAGAAGGCAAACCTCCACTGTTACCCTCAGTATTGAAAGTCAAAGGCCCTGCAAAAACAAGAGTAGACATAGAAAATCAAACTAAAAACGTCAAATCTTTTTCATTTTTCTTCTTCTTGAAAATTACCGAATTACCGATTTCAAAAGCAAGGGCAGAGATAGAAGAGCAAGCAGGTCCTCCAGATAACCAAATTAGAAGAGGGTCTTCTTCAGGATTGTTCTCTGATTTGACGAAGTAGTAGAAAAGCTGAACTTTCTCTCCCTCACCAACACCAATATATCTTTCATTAGAAAGAAAGACAGATGCAAAGATTCAGACTCGTTAAGTTGTGAAATTGTTAGTCATGAATCTTGAAAAGCAGAGGAAGAGGAAACTAAACGGACCCTGTTTCAAGGTGGAAAGGAAGAGGACCTTCGAAACCAGGAAGATGGCTAATCACAGAGGCTGAATTAACACCATGTTGAGTCAAGAGGAGGAGCAGCTGAAGCAGAAGAAGCAACTTCAGTTTCCATGCTTTAGACATTTTTGATTAACTCTTTTATTATGTTCTTGATTAAACAAACTAAAGAAGGAGTGTTTCCTTCAAGGTTGGGCAGTATAACTGAACCGATCAACTCGAAATACTGTATTTTCTGTCTTATTTTGATTAAACCACTTCTCTCTATAGCAATTTCTCCTTCGTTTTTGTTTTTCTGCTTTTACTTCTCTCTCTCATCATACTTATCCAGAAACCATTCTTTCTCCTTCTTTCGAATTGATCCACGAGTACCACGATGATTATTTAATTATATTAATACTTCCTGCTGTCAAGTAGGTCCCCTTTTTCTGCACATGTTGTGACTTGTCGTCGTTCAATTTACAATATATATATATATATATATATATATTTTTTTTTTGTCGTTCGAGAGTCTTATTAATGCAAAATGAAACATTGTTCTCTTACACAACCAGAAACAGAACATTAGCTCTAACAACAACATCAAACCCCTAATGATAAGGATAAGTAGATGTTGGCCCTCGCCCTTTGTCGCGTAGCCAAGCCAATCTTGAACATGATGGTAACATCTCTAGTAACATTCTTGGAGATCTCTCGAGCGATTATGTTCGATCGATATCTTGCAACTATCACACCCAGCCCGCAATCTATTGATGTATTCAATGAATGACTGATAACGAGGCCATTTTGACGGCTTAGATAAAGCCTTGAAGGTTCTCTGGATCAGAGTTTTGGGATCTTCTTGTTTCCCTGCTTAGATGATCGCATTTCGATTTTTTCAGATGGCCATAGCACCCACAGATAGCTCCTCTTAACATCTTCCATTGTTGCTTGATTTTCTATATAAATCAAGAGTGTACTCTATAGTATCTTCAATCGAATTTGACCAACCTGTTGACGAGAGAGGAATAACCAAACCAAACTAAACCAAAGTAAGTAATATAGTTTGGTAATGCTCTAACCTAAAAATCGATTTGATTATTTTCTATTAAGTTTTCTGTTTATGTTTAGTTTGGTTAAAAAATGTAAAACCAAATAGTTTTTTTTTACAGTTTTCAAAATCAAATTTGAGATAGTTGTATATTTCTTTCTTTTCAATTGAATTTTGATTAATACTTGTAGAAAAGATGTCTTTATGTTTTGTAGCAAAGTTATTACTATAATTATTCTTTTTGAATCATGGATAAAAGGAAAATCGAAACTGAACCTAACAGAATTGTGTATGGTTTTTATATGATTTCATTATTTATAAAATCGATAAACTGTAAATCGAAAAAACTAAACCGTACTAAATCAAATACTTTTTTTTGTGTGTTAAGTTTTTATAAAAACAATAATTAGTAAAACAGAAAAAAATAGAATCGAAACCAATCGGAAACTGAAATGCACGCCCATAGTTATTTTGGTACTAGTTTTCAAAAACAGTCGAATACCAATTAGAAACTGAAATGTCCACCCATAATTTTTGTTGGTATTAATTAGTTTTTAAAAACAGTTATGGTACAATTTTATTATATTCGTAATTCGAAATAAATTTAGTAAAAACTATATATATATACATATATTTTTTATATATAAATAGCTGCTGATTTACAAAAGCTACATGAGAAAAAAGCATGGAAACTGAAGTTGCTTCTACTCCTTCAATTGCAAAGAAAAATAACTGGGTCACGAGTGCACAGAGGTATTTTAAAACCCGTTTTGCTGCTTGCCAGTGCGTCTCAGTAAAAAAGTGCATAAACTGTGACAATTTGTTTACAGCAAATGTAATATCTAGTCGTGTAAAGTGCAGGTACTGCAAACTGCCTACAACTGTACGTATATGGTTGAATGTAGTTATGATTTATTCTTCAAGGTCCTAGTGGTATCAGTGTGTATGTTTTGTTTCCCCTCAAAAACACTATTTTATTAAGATTACGGCAATAGACTATCCTCTAGAGAGAGCTAATTGGGGGCCAATGAACTTACATGGGAGAAATTTAGGCCTTATGCTTTTGCAATCCGCACAGACGTTACAAGATCGGATAATATAAATTAAGCTAAAATATCTAAAAAGAGCCGCTAAATTCTTAAAATCGTTAAGTTCTGACGAGAACAAATGCCACTCTGCTGAGTTCTCGTCATAATTAAATGATTAGAGTAGTCTGTTGCAAATATCTCGCAGCTTGCATTGGACGAATGATGGGCTTGTAGACCTAGGGTTTGTTTTTAACAAGTCTGTTGGTCCTCCAAAAGTTTTAAATTTATAAAACCCTAGTGTTTGCAAGTGCACAGATGTATGTTGTAGGACTTAGGGTGTTGATCCACATGGAGGATGTCTAATCTGCGAGAAACAACAACTGGGAAAGTAAGCAAAGTCATAACTCATGGGGTTTTTGGTTAAAGATCCTAAACTAAACCTAATCTAATATTCACAAGAAATAAGATGCAATGCAGGATGAATTGTTAAAAGAATATCTCAAGCATATCGACTCAAACTATAAACTCTTAAACTCATACGTGGCGACTTAGACTTCTCCGGTTTACTCTAATCGATGTATGATGCCATTTCCAATTAGCTTCCAGGCTATTTATCTTCATCTGTTTCTGGGATCTGCATGGAACTAGAATAGACATGTGTATGATTAACCAACTCTCGTCATCTTAATCAACTAATCTCTCAGATCTGACAATTAACTCTCGCTCTCATGTCAAAAATAAGATCATGCATTAGACATTGAATTTGTTTGCTCACATCTTCTCTATAGGTAGCTCTCGACTCTTATAGCGACTATGTTCTTCTGAAGCTAGGTACAAATGATCTGATACAACACTCTCGTGGTTTTGATCGATCCTAGGCTCAGAGAATAGGTCATGAATCTACTTTCATGCAATATGAACAACTTAGAAGAGATGAGATCCAGAATATGGTTTAGAACTATAGAAATCCTAATCGATATGTGTACCTATCGAAATCTTCAAACAATTTGACTCTCTAGGACAAATCTACATGATGCAATGAATGATGAAAGACATAGAAGAATGCAAAAGAATAAAACAGAAAATTTAATAAGATAAAAAGGAGAAAAAACAATGGATCTGGGGAAGAATCCCCATCTCCATCGCCTAACCCTAGAAAAACAAAGTTTGGTGGCTCAAAATCTCATTACAGAAGCACACACCCGTTTAGGGCTGCTAAAAAATGTATTTATAGGTCATAGGGTCTTCCAGGTCTCATTTAGGGCTTCTCTGAAGAGGAATGGCGAAGTGGGCTTTGATGTTGGATCTTGTGGCTCGTCCTAAGGTCCACCGGGGGTGAGAGTCTTCCAGGACAGGTAAAACATGGTTTTCCCGCAGGTGAGAGTCTTCCGGGACTGGTGAACTGGTTCAACTTGTTCTCCAGTGTATCTTTTGATTGCACCGTTGGATCTTTGTGATGTAAAGTGCTATGGAAAGCTGGTTGTCTCCTCTTGATTGTCTCTAAATTTTAGCTGGATCAGACGGTGAAAAAGTCTTCATTGGAGGCTGAACTTCTGACGGTCTGACTCTGAGCTGAAAAAATGGATTTCTTCCATTTTGCCATCCTATTCCCTAAGTTTCCTGAAAAGAGCCTTGAAACTACAAATACATGGAAATCATAATAAAATTTCCTAAAACTGATTAAAACCTCCTAAAACTGATTAAAACCTTTGAAAAAGCATTTGAAATAAATGATGAAAATGGGTCAAAATCAGATGTTATTAACGCACAGACGCATCTCATTGCCCCAAGAAGAGAATTCAACTCAGCGTGTAGCGGGGACAGACTTTGGTTTGAAACTGTTAGTCCAACTAAGTGAATATTCTCCCCCGACGAAACCCCCCAACCATGGCCGTTAGTTGGGTCAGAGGCATGCCAAGAATCATCGATGTAACACCTTGTTTGGGGTAAGAGATGCTCACAATCTTACTCGCCACTCAAAAAAGGAGCATTTGGTAAAGTTTCCAACGCGTTTGCACTCCTCCATATCTCTTCCTCATGCTTTGCATGTTCAAGGCTATCAGGGGAGGGGCGGGGGTTTCATTCACATTGTCAAAAATTTCCTGTTCTTAACTTTCTAGATAAATCATATAATCTATGGAAACACTCTGAGATGCTCCTCGGTACTACCAAGAGCACGAGCTTGCCAAAATAGATAATCGAGATTACTGAATATAGAGGGTAGAGGAAAGATGCTTGGGGCTGAAGAAATAGCAGAGAGTGCTCATACTTGCTTCGATGGAAAGCATTCAAAGATAACATGGTTTATGGTCTCTTCATCTGATCCACAATGGGGACAGCTTTTATCTCGTCCAAAGTGAGGAAAGTGAAACCACAGAGAAGTGGAGACACAACCCATCACATATTGCCACATAAAATGTTTGATATTTCGTGCAGTTTTTAACTTCCAAGTTTGTGTCTTTAGTACCATAATATTGGGTACCAGTGCGTATATATATTATTAAGAGAAACTAGGTGTGGTAGCAACAAGACAAAAACTATTTACCTCAATAAAACCAGATTATTTTATTCAAGGGAAAATACTACTTATCTCCTCAGCATCTTCACTAATATATCTTTTTGAGAATAGCATCTACGTTTTTTTATTTTACTTTTTCTCCGACAGATCTTTTTTCTAACATCCATTATCTGTTTTTTCTTTTTTTTCAAATTTCAAATAGCAATCTCATTTTAGCATACAAGCTTCACTCTTCATTTTTTGTTTCCAGATTTTTCTTTCTCATCAGCTTTCTCTCCTTTATTACGATGCAGACTCCGCCGACCTTCTTTTTTCTCCTGCTACTACTCCGGCGAATTTTGAAAGGTACCTCTTCGATATATGGTTCTCTTCTGCTGATTTTTACATTCTACTACTTTTGTATATTATTCTCTGTATTTCTTCAGTACAGTGGCCTTTTTCGCAGTTATCCACATCTGGGTTTCTTGATTTTGTAGATCTAGGTGATGTTGTGTGTGTTGTGGGTTGTCAAGTTTTACCCTAATTGAAATCAATAGTCGCAAGTGCACAGCTGATCGATTGTAGTACTTAGAGATCGAATCCACAGGGAAGGAGGATCTTTTCCTGCAAAAAGCCTTTGAAATAAGTTAAAGTAAGGAAGTCTAGAACAAAAACGGTTTAGTGGGGGTTTGGTAGTGTGTTTAAAATGTAAAAATGAAATATTAAAAGAGAATACGGAAATTAAATGACGTAATAACTAAACTTAATGAAAATGACTAAAAA